GAGAGGGGAAAGGAGAAGGAAATGGGATGAAAGGAGGAAGGAGGAGGAACGGTATTGAACTTGTGGCACCCCCCTCATTCCCACAGGGAAGACTGGGGGGCTTCCAGTGGTGGCTTGGCCATTGCTGGGCTGGGTGCAGATGTCAGGGGGGTGTGGCAAAAGCCCTCGCCCCCCCACTGTCCCAGCCCAGGAATGCGGAGCCCTTCTTCTTGTGGCTTGGTGGTCATTGCTGGTTGCACATGTTGGTGGGCATGGCTGAGGCCCCCCACCACCCTGCCTTGGGAGAGCCTGGGGCACTTCCTGCAGCAGCTTGATGGTCACTGCTGGGCTGGTTGCAAGTGTCAGGGTGGCTTGGCAATCACTGCTGGGCTGGCTGTGAGTGTCAGGGGGACGTAGCTGAGGCCTGAGGACCCCCACCACCCCAGGTCAGGAGAGCCTGGGGTGCTTTGTGTGGCAGCAGGACAAAGCAGATTTTTAAGGCAAGAAGAATTATTCAAGATATAAAGATAGACATTTTATAATCATAACAAGTTTAATTACCCCAGAAGATATAATATTTCTAAATTTATATGCATCTAATAACATCGTTTCAAAATACATAAGGCAAAAACTGACTGGCAAATCAGCCCATTCACAACCATAGTGGGAGATGTCAACACACCTTTCTTATAAAGGTGCAAGATGGAGCAGTCACACCAAAAAACCAATAAGGATATAGAAAATGTGAACAGTTAAGAAACTTGACTTAATTGATAAAAGTGAAAAACTACATCCAACATCTGCAGAATGCACATTGTTTTTAAGTACATGTTAACCATTATTTCATACCATACACAAAGAGTCATTCTAAATGGACCATAGATCTAAATGTGAGAGGTAAAATAAAACTTCTGTAAGATAATATAAGATAGTAATATATCCATGATCTTTGAGCAGGGAAGTTTACTAAACAGGAAATAACACAATGAAAGAAATGGTTGATAAATTGTACTACATTAAAATGAAGAACTTCTTTTTGTCAAAAGACATAAGAGAGTGAAAAGGCAAGTTAGATATTATAAGAAGATATTCACATTTTATAAAGACCACTAAAAATCAATAATAGACAACCCTGTAGAAAAATAGAGTAATGGAATTAATCACCTCACAAAAGAAGTTATCCAAATCAACAAATGTATTCAAGATTTTTAGCCTCATTAGTAATCAGAGAGAGATAAATATAAACCACAATGAGATAACACATACACCTACTGGAATAGTTACATTAAAAAAATTTTTTTTGACAGGAAGTTGCAAAAAATAGTACGTAGAGGTCCTATGTACCTTTCACTCACTTCCCTCCGAAGGTTACACCTTACATAACTATAGTACAATATTAGAACCAAGACATAGACATTTCTTATCACAAATGTATACGTATAGTTCTATGCCATTTTATCATGTGTAAATTTATATAACTACTATCACAATCAAGACACTGGACTATTTTATCACCCCAAAGATCTCCCTTATGCTATTGCTTTAGAGTCACACCCACCTGCCTCCCTTCCTCTATCCCTAACCCCTGGCAACCACTAATCTGTTCTCTATCTTTAAAATTGTCATTTTGAGAATGTTATATGAATGGAATCATACATCATGTGACCTTTTGAGATCAGTATTTTTCACATAATGCCCTCAAGATCCATCCAAGGTCTTGTGGTATCCATAGTTTGGTCTTTTTCAAAATGGCTAAAGATATATTTTTTTTTAATAGACTTTATTTTTTAGAGCAGTTTTAGGTTCACAGCAAAATTAAGCAGAAGATAGGTTTCCATATACTCCCTTCCCCTACACATGCATAGCCTCCTCCATTATCAACATCCCCCACCACAGTGGTACATTTGTTACAATTGGTGAACCTACATAGACGCATCACTATCACCCAAAGTCCATAGTTAACATTAGGGTTTATTCTTGGTCAAATGGCTGAATTTTTAGACTGATAATACCAAGTGTTGGTGAAGATGTAAAGTAATAGGAACTCTGATATACTTCTAATGGGGATGTAAATAGGGTCAGATATATAAAAAACTGTTTGGTATTTTCTAATAATGTTAAATATAAGTTTAGTGCCTGATTCTGCAATTCCACTCCTAAGTTAATACCCTCCCCACCCTCATGTATGTCCCTGTTCACCAGAGAAGTTGTTGTAGAAATGTATTTATAGTGGCTTATTTGTAATAGCCGTAATCTGGAAAAGACCCAAATGCTTATCAACAGTATAATGGATTTTTTAAAAAATTGTGGTGCATTCATGCAATAGTATAGAGCAGGGATAGACAAACCTTTTCTATGAAGAGATGAATAGTAAATAGTTTGGACTTTGTGAGCCACACATTGTCTGTGGCAACTACTCATCTCTGCATTTGTAGCAATGAAGCAGCCATAGGCAGTATATAAACAAATGAGTGTGGTTGTGTTTCAATAAAACCATTTATAAAAACAGACTTTGGCCTTTGGGGGCTTTCCTTTGCTGACCTCTGTTATAGGCACAAACCGTAGTTACATATACTTACATGGACGAATCTCATAAACATAATTTTGCATGAAAGAAGTCATACATTATGATTCCATTTTTATAAAGTTCAAAACAGGAAAATGAATCTATGGTGTTATAGTCAACATATTGGTTATTTTTAGGGATAGGAGGGAGTGATGGGAAGGGGCATGAAGAGAGCCCTAGGGTATAAAGCTAGTTATCACATTACCTGAATGGTGGTTACACAGTCTGTTACTTTTGACTACTCATTGAGATATGTACTTGTGATTTGTGCACTTCTCTCGTGTGTGTATACAGTTGTCCCTCATTATCCCCAAGACCACTCATGGATATCAAAAGCTAGGGATGCTCAAATCTCTTATATAAAATGGTGTAGTATTTGCATATAACCTATGCACATCCTCTCATATACTTTAAATCATCTATAGATTACTTATAATACCTAATGCTATGTAAATAGTTGTGCTGTATTTTTTTCTGTATTTTTTAATTTGTATTTTTTGTTGTTGTTTTTGTTTTATTTTTTCCAATATTTTCGTTCTACGTTTAGTTGAATCTGCAAATGTGGAACCTGTATTTACATAGGGCCGACTGTATATGTGTGTGAGAGAAAGAATGTGACAGGGATACTTTAATGAATTAGCTTAAAAAATTAAAAGCAAAACAAGAACACTATTTGTTTTCCCATCAGGTAGAATTGTGTTATTTATCTCTGGCATGTGGTAAGCATACAATAGTTGTTTATTGAATTGAATTGAGAGTTGCTAATAGCAAGCTCTCTAGCAATATAAGGGACAGTAAGTAATGACTCTGTTTTAGCTTAAATTGCTTATTGAAGACTTTTGAGGAAGTTATTTTGGTGTGGAGGCAAGAGGTGAAGTAATTATTTAAGGTACTTTAATAAAGAGAAGATAGATATAGTGTACAAGGCTAACAGGAGCTAATAAATAGTCTGATCTGACAAGTTATTATTCGTGTTTTAGACAGGAGAAGATTCTTTGGTTAGCCATTAAAAGCAAGCTTACAACTGTCTTGTAATGATATTTAATTTGCTTTCATCAGACATACATACATATATATATATGTGTGTGTGTGTATATATATATATATATTTTTTTTTTTTTAACCTACTTACACCCTCTTTGGTTGTTGCCTTGTAATGAGTCATGTATCCATTAGCATCACGTAGTGTAGATGTGATAATAGAGTTTATTGGGGAAAACTTAAGAAGAAGTAGTAGAGTGTAAGCAGTCCGTCAAACTCTTTTGTTATGCTGTAGCTTAGGTCAAGCATGGTCTTCATCCATCATGGCCAAATGAACTTCCCATAGAGAATGGCCTCCACCTCTGTAATGCTCTACATATTTGTAGGTCGGGGAACATCTAAGTGACTATGTATCAATAGAAAGGGGGAGCCTCCAGAGCCCCAGAGGCAGGGATGGGCCTATTCTCCCTTTGAGCTAACAATTCAAACCCACTGAGCTTTCTTGCTGCTAAGATACTAAAAGGGGTTTCGAAATGAACCTATCACATGTATCCCATTACTAGAAAATGAAGTGAAAATCTCTTGATCTGATATTAGATAAAGGTTTTCGAGTAGTTTTCTTCAACCTCGTTATCATGCCTTCTTGCTACTGGTTCTACACAGATTTTGTCATTTACTTAATTACTTTCTTTTTTTTTTTTTTTTCCTTTTTGTCTTTTTTTTACTGACCGGTAATGGGATCGCAACCCTCGGTGTCACGCCCGTAGGGATCGCAACCCTCGGTGTTGCGCCCGCACCGCGCTCAGCCAGTGAGCGGGAACCGGTCTCCACATGGGATCCGAACCCTCGGCGGGAGCGCCGCCACACTCCCAAGCGGTGCACTCTCCATTGCGCCACCGGGCCGGCCCTACTTAATTACTTTCTAATAAACACATTGCTTTTTCTAAGCTTCTCATCTTTGCTCACATTACCTAGTCGAAGATGCTTTTTCCCTTTCTTTAAATTCTCATCCTTAAGAGCTGCTTTTGTCCGATCAGATGATCTCAGTTCTTATAGCAAATACCACTTTTCATATACTACCTAATATTATTGGTTTTTATGTGTACATTTCTTTCTGTCTAATTTATAAATTTCTTAAGGGTAGGGAACGTGTATTAGATTACTTTGTAACCTCTCTAAATACCCTGGCAATCTTGTGTGTAAATGCTCAACAAATAGTTAATGATTAGTATATATGCTTATAATTCTTTTTAATTATAAAATATTCATAATATTTTAGGGTTCTCTATGCCTCTTTTAGACTCTGAATATTAATTGTTATTAAATATAATGCTAGATTCTTCACTAGAACATCTTTTTTACTCTGCTGCAATTACTTCCTGTTTTACGAGCTCATTTTTTGAGGTTGGTATCAATTGTCTGTTAGTTACTCTATTAGCCAGTTTAGTAATTAGATTCCTCCATTCTGCTTCAGCAAGAAGTTGAGAACTTTAAGAAGCTAAATCTCATTAGTAAAGAGCAGTTTGAAAACCTAACACCTGAACTTCCTTTTGAGTCAAACCAAGAAGTTCCTGTAGCACCTTCAGAGTCCAGGCAAGGTATGTAAATCTGCTTTTGTACAAGTGTCTGAATAGTTAAATTAAAGCAGTTCTAAAGTGTTTTAAAAGATTGCTCCTTTTTTATTTGTGGAAAAATGTTAGGTATCTGTTAAAATACAAGAATTTTAAAACTCAACTTTTATTTATCCTTTGGTGAACTTCAAAACGTTTTAGAGACTTGAAAATATAGTTCATAGTTTTGTAAGACAGCCTTGTAGTAAATGTACAAAGTTTGCATCCCACCTTACTCCAACTGTGCCTGAATAGGCATGTAATCACAAAGGTGACCTAGGTGTCATTTATTATACAACTGGATCATGCTCAAAACCAGATGCTTACTTAGAAGTAGGCAAAATTGGTTGGTTCTTTATGTATCTGATGTGATTTTGAGATTGTTGGGAATATCCCTCTTCCCATAATAAATTAAAATGTGCACTGACTTGCTGATCCTTAGGATACACCACTGGAGTCATTCTTTTGTTTTAAGGCCCAGCCCTGTGTGAAAATGTTAAGTACATTTGGGAGATTCATAAATTGAATCTGACATTTTCAGGCAAATGTAACTGATTTTGTTATAGTCCTTCCTGAAGGCAGTTTAAAAAAAAAAAAACATCTCTCCAGAGTACTGAGGCATGAAAAAAAAAAGACTTAAAAACTTCAAACATATACAGAAATGGAGTGAATTGTGTATAACGAACCCCCTACATGCCCTTTACCAAACTTTAACACTTTGTCATCTCATACCCAATTTTGTTTCATCTCAACTCCAGTCACTCCCTCTGCCTCTCTCTGTCTTATTTTGAAACAGACTTCCAATCATATTCATATTTTTATCCCTAAATATTTCAGTATATGTGTCTTTAAAAATATAAGAGCTATCTCTTATATAAATAACAGTACCGTTATCATGTCTAATTGACAGCGATTCCTTAATATCACATATCTATTTAGTGTTCATATTTCCTCATCCATCACTTTTTTTTTCAGTTTCTTCAAATCAGGATCCACATAAGATCCAAACATTTCAAAATCTCTGTTAGTCTATAGATTCATACTATTTTTCTGCCTTACAATTTATTGTCCCTTGAAATTTATTACTGAAGAAGCTGGGTTGTTTTTCCTATAGTTTATCACATTCTGAATTTTACTGATTGCATCCCCATGGTTACATTTAAATCTGTTGTCTAGTCCTGAATTTTCTGTAACTAAGTTCGATATAGAGGCATGATCGGATTGAGATTTAAATTTTTGCAAGAATGTCATATGTAGTATTGAATACTTTTACCAGGAGGCACTTAATGTTCTATTGTCTCCTTTTTACTGATGTTAGCAGCCATTGATGATCACTGAGTGAAACTTTTATTTCACTAGGGGTTGCAAAATGGTGATAATTCTATTTTTTATCATTGCTTCTTAATTTACTATACTTCCATAAAGAGAATACTTCCATAAAGAGAACTTCCATAAAGAGAACTTCCCTGAATTGACTGTTTATCCTGAGATAGAGTTCTTACAGAAAAGGGAATGAAAGCTTAATTCTTTTTCTTTGTTTACTAGTTTTCAAAGTAATTGGTTGGTTCCTTAATATCCTGCATAGGTGACCAGTGAAGTTTAGTTTCTTGTTTGTTTTGTTTTTAAATTATCATTATAAACTAATAAGTATAATAGATGGGTTTCACTCTATTATAATTATTATTGCTGTTGATACTTGTGCTAGTTAACAGTTTATCAACTTTTAGCTCCTAATTCACCTTTCATTTCCTTGCTCTGTATTAATGGAATTAGATCGTTAACTTTCTCATTTGCCAGTTGACACAATTTTGAGCTTTCTCAGTACTAGAGTTGCTACAGAGTCGGCTGTTGTTTCTAGGCCTTTTTAATTGAAAGAGCTAGAAAATGTTTTTTTTGTTTGCTTTCAGACTTCCACATCTCTAAATATTAACTCCTTCTTTCCAGTTGCACAGGTCAAAAATCCTTGGCATTACACTTGATTCCTTTGGTTTTCAACCTGCATATCTTACTTATTGGCAAATCTAACCACTTCTCACCTTCTCCGTTTCTGTCACCTTGTAAAAGCCACCATCATTCTCCCATGGTTTATTATAATAAGCTACTAACCTGTCTCCATCCTTTCATCTGACTACCATATAGGATCCAGAGTTATCTTTTTGGCTTACTTTTTAAAAAAATTATATATATTTGAGGTACACAACATGATGTTTTGATATACATAGTGAAATGCTTTTTTTTTTTTTTTTTTTTTCTTTTTTGTGTGTGTGTGTGACCGGCCGCACCACCGCACTCAGCCAGTGAGTGCACCAGCCATCCCTATATAGGATCCGAACCTGTGGCAGGAGCACTGCTGCGCTCCCAGCGCCACACTCTCCTGAGTGCGCCACAGGTTCGGCCCTATATAGTGAAATGCTTTTGATAGTCAAGTAAATTAATGTACCCATCATCTCATATAGTTACCCCTTGTGTGTGTGTGTGTGTGTTTGTGTGTGTGTGTGGCCAGAGCACCTAAAACCTACTGTCTTAACAAAAATCCCTAATATAGTATATTATTAATATAGTTCTTATGTTGTTCATTAGCTTTCTAGACTGATTCATCCTACATATCTGTACCTTTGTATCCTTTGACTTACATCTCCCCATTCCTGTACCTCCTCCCCCAGTAAACACTGCTTTGTTCTCTATTTCTTTATATTCAACTCTTTTTTTTGGCAGCTGGCTGGTATGGGGATCCGAAGTCTTGACCTTGGTGTTACAAGGCTATGCTCTAACCAATTGACCTAAGGGCCAGCCTTTTTTTTTTTTTGAACTCCTTATATGAGATCATGTAGTATTTTTTTTTTTTTCTGTATTTGGCTGATTTGGCTTAGCATAATGTCCTCCAGTTTCATCCATGTTGTGGCAAATGGCAGGATCTCCTTTCTTAAGGCTGAATAATATTTCATTGTGTACACATCCCCCTATATCTATGCATCAGCTGAAGAACACTTCAGTTATTTTCATCTCTTGACAATTGTGGATAATGCAACAATGAACATGGGAATGCAGATATCTTTACATGGTGGTGATTTTATTTCCTTTGGGTATATACCCACAGGAGGAATTGTTGGCTTATATGGTAGTTCTATTTTTAATTTCTTTAGGATTCTCCATACTGTTTTCTACAATAGCTACAGCAATGCAACTTTTCATATACCTGTTGGCCATTTTTATGTCATCTTTGGAAAATCTCTATTCAGTTCCTTTGCCCAGGTTTTAATCAGATTAGTTGTATTCTTGCTATTGAGTTGTTTGAGTTCCTTATAGATTTTGGATATTAACTTCTTGTCAGATGTATGGTTTGCGAATATTTTTTCCCATCACATAGGTTGTCTCTTCACTCTATTAATCATTTCCTTTGCTGTGCAGCTTTTCATTTCGATGTAATCACATTGGTCTATTTTTGCTTTTGTTCCTGGGCTTTGGGGATTGTATTTTTTTTTAAATTAAGGTATAATTTGCATTCAGTAAATTTCACACCTTTTGTGTATATAGTTTTGGGAACTTTGATATATGCATACGGTCATGTAAACACCACCTAGTCAAGTTACAGAATAATTACATTATCTCCCCCCAAATTCTTCCATACCTTTTTGTAGTCAACCCCAGGCCAAGCTTTTGGCAGCCTTTTAAAATTTTTTCTGTTCATATAGTTTTACCTTTTCATTTAGCATATGATGCTTTTGATAGTCATTGATGCTTTTGTGTGTTGTTTGTTTGTATTACCTTTTTATTGGTAAGTAGTATTCCATTGCATGGATGTAAACAGTTTGTTTGTTATTCATTTTTTAGGTGAAGGACATATGGATTGTTTTCAATTTTTGGTGTTAATGAATAAAGCTGCTATAAATATTTACCTATAAATGTTTACATGAATATAGGTTTATATTTCACTTGGGTAAAAGCTTAGGAGTGGCATTGCTAAGTCATACAGTAAGTGTTTGTTTAGCTTTATAAGAAACTGCCTAACTTTTCCAAAGTGGCTTTGCCATTTTACGAATGTGTGAAGGTTCCAGTTGCTCTACATCCTCATCAGCACTTGATATTGTTAGTTATTTTTTAAATTTTGCCATTTTAATAGTAGTATCTCATTGTGACTGATGATGTTGAGTATCTTTTTATGTCCTTATTTGCCATCGGTTTTGGTGAAAGTGTCTGCTCAAATCTTAAGACATTTTTTTTTATTTGGTTGTTTGTTTTATTATTGAGCTTTGAGAGTTCTGTATTCTGGTTACAAGTCCTTTATTACGTATGTGATTTGTACATATCTTCTGTCAATCTGAGGCTTATCTTTTCATTTTTAAGAGTACCTTTTGAAGAGCAAAAATTCTTATTTTTAATGAACTGCAATTTTTCATATTTTTCTCTTATACTGTTATGCTTTTGGTGTTTATTGAAGAAATCTCTGATAAATTCACAAGATTTTCTTCTAAGTTTTCTATTAGAAGCTTTATATTTTTAGTTTTTATTTAATCCAGGTATCTAATCAATTTTGAGCATTGTTTTCGTTTGTTTGTTTTGGTGTATGATGTAAGTATGGACATGGATGTCCAATTATTCCAGCACCATATTTTAAAAGTCTATCCTTTCTCCATTGAATTGATTTTTCACCTTTGTTGAAAATCTACATGTCTGGGTCTCTTTTTGGACTCTATGTTCTGTTCATCTGATCTCTGTGTTTATCCCTTTGCTCCTAGCACAACTTGATAACTTTGGAAAAGTTAGGTGCCTTAAAATCAGGTAGTATGAGTCCTCCAACCCTTTTCTTCTTTTTCAAAACTGTTTTAGCTATTCTAGTTTCTTTGCCTTTTTATATAAATTATAGAAATAGCTTATTGATTTCTACAGAAAATCCTGCTGGTATTTTGACGGGATTGAATCTATAGGTTAGTTTGGGGAGAATTAACTTCTTAACAGTATCGAATCTTCCAATTATGGGCATGGTATAC